TTTTATTTTGATAATGATGTAAGTTTTAGAGTTTTATTTGAAAATTAAACTGCAGAACTAAAGGGAAGTAAAAAAAATAGTTTAAAAGCAGTGTGCAGTTTGACATCAAACACATTTTATCCTAATCATTAATTCATTTTTAACCTTTTCGCCACAATACTTTACCATAGTGTTATATGACCTTTGATGTCTAGCACATTTATTAACCATGGACCAGGAACAACTAGTTTTCTTGAATACCTCGAATGAAGGCAGTTTTGACAAGCGCTGTTTTACACATGCACACGCACACGCACACCACACGCACGCACACGCACAGAGACAGACAGACAGACAGATTGAGGGAGGGAGGGGGGTGATAATTTTAATTTCATTTGTTACAATGGATTTAGAAGCAAAATAAGGTGGCTGTCCGTTAATTTTCTTCTAAATTACCCCAATCGGAATGGGTAGAACTGACAGCACGTCAACTCTACCCATTCCGAATCGGGCATCCAGGTGAGTACTCAACCCTCAGAATCCACCTCTTCCTCCTCCTCCCTTATTACTACTATTCATCCTTATCGTCGTCCTCCCTACACTAGGTCCCTCGACACCATCCCATCTTCTTCCCGGCCTCGTCCTTCCACTGCTTACTCCTCTTTCAAAGTATTTGCCGCTATCTATCTTCTTCCTCCCACTCTCTCCCAACACACATCTCATCCTCTTCTTCTCCATGTACATCATTCCTTCTTTTCCCCATTTTTCCTACTGCTCCCACCTGGTTGCTCACATGACTCCCTTATGTCGCAACAGTGTACCCCGGATCTTCTTCCCCTCCTGATAATCTTCCTGATACTTTACCACCTTTCCCTTGTTCCCTTTTCTAATTCTTTGGATTTTTCTTCTCCTACTTCTCTAATCTCTATCTTTATTATCCGTCGATTGTTTCATAAAGCTCATTTGGAGTTTTCCTCTTACAGCGTTCTTCTCCAGTCCCAGACACACGCGTAATCTCCATTTGACCTAATTACTTTATGCCCTTATCCCCTTACCTTTTTTACTAATCCCCGCCGTGCTCCATTTGTTATCGCCTCTTTACCCATTTCACTAACATATTATCCTGTAGCGTTGTACACCCTTTGACATATAACACATTTTATCCTAACTGTTAACTCATTTTCACCCTTTTCGACACAATACTTTACCACGGAGCTGTATGACCTTAGGTTTTAGCACATTTGTTTGTTTTAAGCATTAACCATTACATTTTTTTTCTTTTCTTTTCTTTTCTTTAATACGAAACGACACGACGAATGGGGGGATACAAGAAATAATAGCAATAACAATGAATCAGTCAGTAGATAAAAAACAGTATAAAGTTTTATGAAGAATTGAAAAGTAAATTCTTGATGTATGAATACGTTTCATTTTAACAACATTTATCTACCATATATTTTATTTCTCTAAAACTTTGAGCCCATATCTTGCTATTCGAACAATGATAATAATGATACTTTTCGAAACATGGTATTTATTTTTATTTATGATATGTAGTTTGTTATGGTTATAATAGTTGCAATAATAAAAAATGATAGAACAACAATAACGGTGATAATGATGATAATGATAATAATCAATAACAACAAAAACAATAATATTGATAATGATAACAAAAGTGGTGCTAAGAGTAATGGAAGCAATGAAGGAAATAGAATAAACGTTATCAGCAAACATATTCAGTACATGAATGCATTCATATATATATATATATATATATATATATATATATATATATATATATATATATATATATATATATATATATGTAAGCCACTTCAATTTGTAATCATTATGATCATTTCGGTTCAACTGAGAGATTGTTCAAATTCTCGAGATAGAAGAACAAACGGAGAACGGGATCCCTTTTAATTACACTACAAGCGATTAGAGGCAGGATCGAGTGCGATTTAATCCTTAATCGAGAAAATTTAGCAAGCTGTTGTTCCCCTGCCTCCGGGTTAGTACAGTAGTAGCGAGTCGACAGGTCACGCTCCGCCCACGCTAAGAAGTTGCCATTGCCGCAACTTTTTATTGTTTGACTGGAGGTTACTTCTGTGGCTGGGACCACGGTGGGTAAGGTCTAAGCTCTGTCGCGTCAACACTAGCTGATACACGTTGGTCGAGTCTCGTCAGGCTCATAAGTGTGATCTTTGGCTAGGCAGCATAAGGACCACAATTGTCTTTCAGTCAAAGTTTGTTTATAAAACCAGTAACCAAGTAACGGACGGCTATTTTGTTCCATATTATGATATGGAAGAGTGATATTATATCTATCTAAATATTTATATGTAGACACACACCTTTCTATAATCTTTCCATCATCTATTTTTAACGTACCTACCTGTCTGGTTACCTTCCTCCCTGTCTTTCCCTTCCCCTCTCTCTTTTGCTATCTTTGTCTTTGTATGTCTCTGTATCTCTTGTCTCTCTCTGTCTGTCAGTCTGTCTCTCTGTCTCT